CAATCGTCAACCACCGCCGCGAGGAAAAAATATACGTAACAACCGCATCTGAGCAGAACCGAACTTTTCTAATTATCTCGACTAAAACATCACAAGGCTAAGTTACCAGGTACCATACTAGGAATTCCATAGGTTACCTGCCACAAATCCTTCAAAGAGTGATTTCAAAATGAAACCTAATCGACAGCTGACTGACTATACAACAAAGGAATGTAATACAAGCCATTTTTTGGTTACTAAAATGACAAACAGCTATTGGAAGAAAACATCGTAGTGTTTTCCGATAGGAGTCGTTTGAACACGTGATTTCGCTTCACGCGTGACTGAGATGATAATTTAACGCATCCTTCTATATAAATTTTAAATATTTTTTTATGTTAAAAAAGAAAATTAAGTAAAAAGTGCCGCATCCCTTCAGGACCTAGGCGATCATGGTTCTCTATAACTTCCTATCTCTCAGCAGTTTTTCTCCCTTTGCAACTTGTTCCGCAGTCTATTCACACAAGCTCGTCAGGTAAGTGTCTTGCTGTCTTCCCTTATCTCGCCCCCCCCAATAAACCCTGTGAGAGTTAACTTTACCAAGCCCTCTTTCCTCATTATGTGTCCCAGAAACTTCGGCTATCTACTAAGTAGAAGTGTTCTTTTTCTTGACATTTTCTTTAAGATTTCATTGTTGCTTACTCGCTCAGTCCATGAAATTTTTAGTATCCATCTGTAGAACCATATTTCTGTTGCCTCTAGTATTTTTTTTTTCCTCATCTGTGAGGAGTTTGTCCAGCAGTCACTGGCATGTCAAAAAATGGATAACACATAGCAATCCAAGCACTGTTTTCTTTGTTTCTGTCGATTTTATTCTGTTTCTCGGCACCTTGCTTAACTTTGGAATGCTTATTTCGCTGGCCCAGTCAGTGTTCAGACCTTTCGCTAGTCTAATGTGAAACGGCTACCGACGAACTCTTGCATCTGGTGTTTATTAGAGAAAGTTCCCCCCCCCCCCCGCGCCCATATGAAAGCGTTTTTCAACGATCGAAAGAAAAAGATAATGATCACTAGGTGCAAGGTCAGGTGAATATGGTGGGGTCTGGAAGAGCACACCGACTGAGTTCCAGAGTTTGATTTTCTTTTGTTAGTCTTACTGTGTTTAACCTTGTGTTGAGATGGAGAGTATCTTTCATACTGACGAACGCAGGACATTTTCCGACCAAACCTTTACAGTCACGTTGCAAATGCTGGACTTATAAATATACATTTAATGTTTCATTGTGTTTTCAGAGCTCTAAATGAATAATAGCTCGGCGATCCCACCACACATTGCCTTTCTTCTATGGAACTCAGATTTTGAGGTTGTTTGTGAAGACTTATCCGTGTCAATTCAAAATGTTACTTTATGCGTTGAACCTTATCGTATGTAACTAATTTTTCATCTCCTCTTACGAGATAATTTAAGGGACGATTTGTTAGAAGGGATGCATTTATTATTACAGGGTTGCTTAGCACTTTGAGGACACGTCTTTTAATAGCTTTATGTTTATTCTAACTTTTTCTAGTTATCATTTCTTTTCGGACGAATGATGTCAAGCGCCAAGATAAGCCAGCAAATGAAGAGGCCCGCTGTAATTGTTTGCCTTAAAGGCAGAGCGTAGTGGTTTTGAGATTGCTCGCTTCCTGAAAGTTGAACTGCGATTTGTTGTCAAAGTTGGCAAAGAGTTGAAAGCCTCTGACGGGGATTCTACACCAGTAGCCAAGCGTAAAACACGTGACAAGGGTCCTAACACCATCAGAAAACGTACATTTTTACGAAAGGAGTGGAAAAGTATCGATTAGAAACCCAGAAAGTTAATTAATAATAATTTGATCACGTACGTATGTTGCCTGGTTATATCCAATTACTTTAAGATTAGCCCCTCCCTTCCCTATAAACCATCCTTCATATCTACTCCCTCTTTTCAGAAGACAAGTTTCTTTCATCCTAAAAATTACAATTTTATCCGCCCGACTAAGCGAATTTAGAACTTATTATGAATCATTTTCTACATATTCTTGCATCACTTGTACATGCTTATTTTTATCATTTTTTTAATAATTTCAAGACAAGCAAGGCAATAAAGCCACTAAGATGCAAGTGGATACTGAGTTTTAGAGTGTATGTGAAAAAAAAAAGAAAAATACTGTTAAGGAGTGAGAATAATAATAAAATAACAAGAATTAGGAAGACAGAAGATAACGATTGACATATTTAAATTTCTGAAGATCAAAATTGACTGAAAAGCAAGAAACCAGAAGAGAGTTTCACAAGCAAGAAGTGCGAAAGAAGAAACTGTAAGTGTAGAACGCGTGGTATATGTGGCAAGAATGATACCTATTGTCTCGTAACAATTACGCATGACAAGTTCAGAAGCAGAAGACAAGTAAGACAATCTTAAATATTTCATTTTAATGTATTGACAATTGCAGTTAAAGACAGCAAGAGAGATCTGAGAGACTTTGATAAAGATTAAATTGTTATATCTGGAAAACTAGATTTTTCCAAAAGTGGCAGATTCTGTAGTTTGTGTTGTTTTTTTTAAATTCATTTCAACCCAAGCAAAGCAATAAAGCCACAAAGACGCTAGGCGTTACTGAGTGTGAGCGAATATGAAAAAAAAACATTATTAAACGAGGGAACAATAAAAGAATAGGAATTAAGAAACAGAAGATAACGATTGGCATTGGATTTAAATTTTTGCCGACCAAAGTTGACTCGAAACCAAGACGCCGGAAGAGAGTTCCACATAGAACTTACGGTTACATCTAGCTAACTTTTTTTAAAAAAAACTCGTTCTGATTATCATTTCTTCTCGGATAAATCGTGACAACCATCAAGATAACTCTGCAAATGAAAAAGGCCCGCGCTGTATTTGTTACCTTAAAGGCAGTTTTACAGATTGCTCGCTTCCTGGAAGTCACACGATCGTTTGTTGTCAAAGTTTGCAAAGTACTGGAAGCCGCTGACGGGGATTATAGACAAATAGACAAACGTAAAAAAACTGCTAAGGGTCATAATATTTATCAGACCCCTCCCCGCGCCAGAAAAGGCGCAGAAAATTGTCGATAAGAATCCCAATAGGTCAATTAACGCTATTTCTAAAGAGTTTAAGTTTTTAAAGGCTGAATTGTGCATATAATAGGGCGAGGCTAGTTCATGCATGCAAAGACAAAAAGAAAACCGCCTGATCCGCGCAAAGATTCTTGTTGATGAAATTGAAACATCAAGAGCCTGGCATGCTTTGTTTTTGTTTGTTTTTTGTTTTGTTTTTTTCGTTTCTTTGTTTGTTTGTTTTTTTCGTTTCTTTGTTTGTTTGTTTGTTTTTTTCGTTTCTTTGTTTGTTTGTTTGTTTTGGGTTTTTTTTTTCTTCTCTGATGAGAAAAACTTTGATCAAGACGAAAAGGACAACCGAAGAAATTTCAGATGGTTATGTAGAAGACCCAAAGGACATTCCAACGGTCATGCACAGCGGCAACTGTGATGGTTCTGGGAGCCATAAGCAACAATGGAGGTATCATGCCTCATCACATCTTTGCTAAGGGCTTAAGGGTCAATGCTGCTGATGATCAGGAGGTTTTGGAAAGGGTTATGAGACTTTGGATAGAGAGCGTGAGCATAGGAAGACCTTATACCTACCAACAAGACTCTGTGTCGTCTCATGAGGCCAAAACGACCCAAGATGAGTGACAATCTCTGCGATTCACTCACCCCAAACATATGGTCTGCTAGCTCTCCAGGCCTGAATCTGTATCGAGCGGAGTCGAGAGGGAAGTCAATCGACCTCTCTCATAGCCCGATAAAATCTCTGAAGTCCGTTGTAACTAGCACAATGTGAAAAAGAAATAATAATCATGTGAACGTTTCAGGCCTTGTATTGAAGCAGTCATCGATGTTAATGGCAGATTCATTAAGAAGAGTCTGAAGATTATTCATGCCAATTGTTTCGTAAATAAAACGCTTCTTTCATGACTTATACGCCATTTACTAAATTCATTCAAATATCATCAAAGAAGAATACAAAGTAAGAATGGATTAAGAGTTAACAGCTAAACTGTAGTCAAATTACCGCCTAGCGTGTTGCATTCACTTTCGCACATATGCTTTTGGTGAATGTACAGATACTGTAGGGTAGACTACATTTCATAGCCTTAGTAGAGGAACCAGTCTAAAAATAGGATGACTGAATTCAAAACCGTGGAGAAGAGAGCAATAGACAGCTATATTTCGCAATGGCGATTCACAATTTACCTATATTATATAAGAGGAAGTTGTGGAGAGCTATGATCGACTACGTTTCGATTTTCAACATCTTCAGGCCATTGCTAAAAAGAAAGATACGAGGAAATTCACCAGAAAAAATTATCTGTGTAGACTCTACAGAAGCGGAGATGTTTGTAAAAAGTGATAGTGTGAAAAGTTGTTTACCTGCAAACATCAAAAATCCTAATAATTTACATTAGAAAATCTTTAGTAAAAAGATTTTTTTTAATTTTTTAATTTTTAGACATTTGGAAATTTACTTAAAAAATTTCATAATTATTTTAAAATTTTTGGTGCTTCTTTAGTAAAGGATGGATTTTTTTAGGGAATTTTTCATTTTCCAAAAGTAGCTTCCGAAAAAAAATTTGAACACCATTGCGTATCTCGAGAACTATTTCATAGAAGCTAGAAACGAAGTCTGCCCGGAAAGTAAGCAGTTATTTTGATACGAGTTACCTAACGATATTTCAATGAATTCTTTAAGTTCAAAAGCTCAATTCAATAAACAGCTACGAGTATTTCGGTTTCTATGTTTTATTAATTCATAGACATCAAAATACACAATACGTAAAGAACAGGACTCATTACACGAAATTTTTAACTTCTTTTTCTTCATTCGTCCAACACATTTCATACACTGTTCGCGTCTTGATTGTCTTTATTGATTATTCTTCCATCATTCTTCAGAGTTCAACTCCAAAGAATCCGAGAAGTCATGGAAGCTAAAAGGCTTATCTCCGTTTGAAGAACTGGCCAGGAATTAACCTGAAAAAAAAATAGAAAGTTTTTACAATATAAGTTGAAGTTGAACAAATAACAATTAGAAATACCCTTGAAAAATACACGGCTTTTCTATTTTAATTTATGATTAATTTTAATTTAATGATCGTAAAAGCTGAAGATGAGTTCCACGGGTACAAAATATCCGTGTAAGTTCCCCTATTCTAATAATCACTTTCTAAGCGTAGCTGAGATGGGGCAAAGCCGAAAGTATGGAACACCCAGTGAGGATCGAACTCGCTGCTTAGTCGTAATTAGGTCTAGTGAGACAACGCTTGTTAACCATCACGCCACGTCGAGATAACCGGAAATTCTCCTATTGCGAATATTAAATATTTAAGCGTAACAACCACGTTCTGGCAACTCCTGCGACGACGCCGGTGTCAAGATGTATTGAGCTCTACCTTTCCCTTGGACAACGTTCGTGGCGTGGAGAGGGGAGACGTTCTCTCAGAAAAACCCTGCCTAGGCCTGCGCCCTGGAGAGCACAACAGCAAAACACGAGAAACAACAGTCGACTGATGGTAGGATTCCGAAGGTGCTTCTGTATGAGGAACTGGCCACCGGCAAGAAGGTACGTGGGCGACCTTCGCTTCAATGGAGAGGGACATGAGGGCAATGCACATGGACATCGAGAGATGGGAAGATGTCGCCAACGATCGCTGACACTGGTGATGCAGTTTACACCAAGGGATGGAGCGAGGGGAAAAGAAACGGGTGCTTGCCGCCGGGTAGAAACGCGCTCGAAGGAAAGAAAACAACATGACTACGTCTTCACATGCACTGGTTGCAATCGAGACTCCCGTGTGGGCTTGTACAGCCATAACAGATGATGCGCCGCTATTAGCAGATGAGGCATATCTTCTTTGGGTGCAAATCCATGCTCTCTGGAGTCCGACGGATGTCACATGCCAAACTAATGTTAACAAAATACTGCAATAACAATCATCAGTATGAATGCAGGTCATTATTAACCCTGCGTTAGTGCTCTCGGATTTCTGAAAATGGATAGTCCCCTGGCGTCTGCCTACCACGGTGTGCTACACACTCTCACCGAGGCAGAAAGTAATGGGAGAGAGCAAAAGAAACTAGTTACCAACTGGGAAGTACAGGCACTTTAAAAAATGGGTGGTAACAAAACACTCCATGTGACTAACGCAGGGTTAAAGAGTACAGATGAAAAGATTCGAAATTGACCATTCACTGAAACAGACGTTAAGCATAAGAGAATTGTTAACGCTTCGTCTAGCTTCTCTTTCTTTCTGTTCCTTTTCTTTCTTTCTTTCTTTCTCCTACCTTCCTTTCTTTCTCTTCCCTTTCTTTATTTTTCTTGCCTTTCTTCCTTTCTCTTCCCTTTCTGTCTCTTGCTTTTCTTTCCCTTCTGTTTCTTTCTTTCTTTCTCTTCATTTTCTTTCTTTCTCTTTCTTCCTTTCCTTCTCTTGCCTTTCTTACTTTCTCTTGCCTTTCTTTCTTTCTTTCTTTCTTTCTTTCTTTTTCCTTTCTTTTTCTTTCCTTTCTTTCTCTTTCCTTTCTTTCTTTCCCCACCCTTTCTTTCTTTCTCTTCCTTTTCTTTCTCTTCCCTTTCTTTCTTTCTTTCTTTCTTTCTTTCTTTCTTTCTTTTACCTTTCTTTATTTATCTTCCCTTTCTTCACCTAAAACCAAACAGCGTCTTCGTTATATCTTTTCTTCCGTAATCAATCAGGAACAGCCATTTTTTTTATCTAAGGCAATGGCTATGCGTACCATGCGTGCTAAATAAATTATTGATACTATCATTCATTATTATCGATTTCTTTACTTATCATTTTTCATTCAAACATTTTTAACAACATTTGCCAATAATTTTATTCAGTTATCCTTTTTTTATTTATTGATTTCAGTAACGTAACATTTTTCGTTTCTGGACGAGGACAGATTTCCAAATTTGTAGGAAAAGAGTTTAGAGTCATAATATTATTTTTTTGTTCAATAGTGAATTTCTTCCTTTATTATTTATCTCTCAAATATTTATTTTTTTATCAACAACAGTAATAAAAATGTTCTCATATATTTAATGATAATTTTATTAGTTTTATTCTTTTCTTATTTATTGATTCGGTTCTGTTACATTGTCATTAAACTAATAAGTTAAAGTGGTACATTTCATAATGAACTGTTCACTTTGACATCCAGTGTAAAATATGTATGTTCATTCTTTGTCATGGTAGAGGGCTTACTTACCCCAGTGATCACAAGAGCGAAGTCTTCTGGAGTTCCAACTCCTGTAGGGCCGACTATGGCGGTAAAATCGAAGAGGAAGGACCAGATTAAACGTGACCAACCTCTGAAGACCCCCACCCGCGGAATTGGCAAAGATCGACAAGATCTCAACGGCCACACCGGCAGTAGAGGGCAACGCCAGTCGGGCTGTCGTAACCAAGGTGGACACTGAGAGACCAAGCATCCAACAGCTCGATGTAACCAGGTTTGGAAGATCTTGCCTGCGAGCCGCGAGTGGGAGCGCTTCTGGCCAAGTGTGTGGGGCTTCTACGTCGCGCAGAATTGTCCAACAAAATCAAATTCACGCGAGTGGGCCTTGTGGTATGTGGGTATCAGATATTCTTGGTGTTTATCGGAAATATAGTACATACAACGAACCATAGTGAAAGGTATCAAATATAATAATATATTTTTATTTATTTGATTTAGAGCGACGCTTTTGATATTCGGTGTAACAAAATGTTCGTTTATAAGGCGGATATTGTTGGTAATTTGGAGAAAGTTCGTTTCGGTTCGGTATTCAAGAGTTTGTAAGTCAACACTTGATAGTAGTCGTAGTCATCTTAGAAATAAGTCAGTATCAATCTACTGTGTTTATCTCGGCCATAAGCAGGGAAGAAATATGATTAGCAGATGACCTCTTAACTACTTCTTCACACGTCACGCATGGCTTGTTTCTCCGACGATCACGTCTCTTATCGTCAGTTTCGCCGTCACTTCTCGTCTAGCTCAAAGGTGTGAACTTCTATTCTTTTGATCAGGCTCTGAAACTGGCGCGAACCTTGGCTACCATCAACAGTCTCTCTATGTTAATTTTATGATGGGCCAAAATTATTTTATTTTCCGGCGTCTCTTTCTTTTTCACTTTTTTAATAACGGAAGTTATGCGTGGAGCCACCTTGATTTTTGTTAGTTTTCAGTAACAAATTGGTAGGTTCTGGCCACAGAGGCCTCCGTTTTCGGCCGGGTTCAGTCTTTTCTTCTTCTTCCTCTTTTTATATGAGGGTGCCTTCTCGTTAGTTGAGAGAGAAGTATATATAGAGAAGTTTAGAGAGAGAGAGAGAGAAAAAGAGAGAGAGAGAGAGATAAGGATTTTAATGGAAAGCGCAAATTCCTTATTTTAATTTGAATCCTTTTTATTTTTGTTTATATATTTTATTTTTATATTTTATTTTATTTTTATTTGGACTCTCTACCGCCTGGTCAAATTCTCTTTGATTCACAGGCATCTGGTCCACCGCCACCAGGACAGAGAAATGTTATAGAGAGAAAGAATGACGATTCCGATGGCTCAGATGCAAGCGAGTGCCAATAACAAATTCCCGTAATGCCAGTTATTCTTTGTTCCTGTTGAATTGTTGCTTCTGACTCAAGGATTGAACTAATGGTCACTAGATGGAATTAACATATTTAAAACCAATTCCTATATCCAAAAACAAAAACGATTTGTCATCAACACATGTAAATTAGGGCCGTATTAAGTAAAGCTTAAAAAATATCCGACTTACTAGTGAGAGCACAGCAATGGCCAAATATACAGTATTCAAAGATCCCACATGGACATGGTCTTGGGATATCAAGGAAATAGCCTTGGGGGCAAAAATCTCCGGCCACGTCACCCAACAACATCATTATACCTGGGGTAAGAAAATAAGAAACAATAGTTACGAATTTTTCCCCGATATCAAAATTCATAAATTACAAGCCAAAATATTAATATTCTTGATAATATTTCTTATTAGACCATTTTAGATTAGCATTTCTTTCATTTTAATTTCATTTCTTTTGCATTACATTAGCAGTATTATTAGTAATATTATATTGAATTACATTATTATTAGACGAAGCATTGTCGATTATTATTCATTTTGTCTATGATTTTAGTAGTATTAGTAGTAATATTATTATTATTAATTATTATTAATAATGATTTAGTAGTAATATTATCTTAAATTTTATTAAATGTGATTAACATAAAGCAAGTGACATTTAATAAAATAATACCCGTCAAAAATTCATAGTTTGGCAATGATTCATCTAATAATACATCTAGTAATAATAATAACAACATTCCAGATATTACTACTAATACAACTAATGTAATAAAAAGCAATTGAAATTAAGATGAAAGAAATCCTAGCCAAAATTTATTGACTAGGATTTTGTTCATCTTAGTTTCAATTACTTTTATTACAATTCAATCAGTCATGTGCAATGCGTGACACACGCTTAGGCGATCATGTATCTTTCGATACATAACTGACGAGGCAGATTTTTTTCCCGCAGTAGGTTGCCATTTCTTTCTGCGGCAGACCAGTTGCCATCCAAGGTTACAGAACTCGGTCTGTCCTGCTATTTACCCATAGCTCGAGAAGAGGATTCATACCTTTCCCAAGGGTATTAGTGAATGTAATGGATTCGACTGGAATTCGAACTCGGCTTTCCGATTCCTCAATCCGATCAGCTAAGAGGCACGGTGGAGTAATGGATAGCAGCTCGGATTGAGAAATCGGAGAGCCGTGTTCGAATTTCATTACATTCACTTACGCTAAGCGTGTATCGCACATAGCTAACTTATTACAGTATAAGGATTTTATTTTTATTAGATGAATCATTGTCATTTGTTATTAATTGTTGACTAGTATTTTTTCATTTTAATTTTAGGTGCTTTCTATTACGATAATAATATTTATTTTTATTATTATCCGGAAATTGTTTTTCTGTGGAGTAATGGATAGCGGCTTCATGATCGCCTAAGCGTGTATCATGCATGGCACATAACTGATTGATTACTATTGAATTTTTCGTAGTAGTAGTAGTAGTAGTAGTAGTAGTAGTCTATGTTAGTTTAATGCATCAGCGTACTACTCTATGACATCCGATGTTGTTGGTGCCACAGAAGAAATATAAAAATCTTCTTTAAAAAGACCTTCATCTCCTGTGGGATCAACTACCGTTTGTCTACCACAGAGGCTGCTGACAGGGTTTTATGACGACATAAGGTCTTACGTACAATGTCTCTTTCCAAAGCAAAAGAGCTCAAGAGAAGAGGAATTTTCTCCGGCTGTCGGTCTTTCTCCAGCTGACCTGCCCCTACTGTGTGGACCATGCTGGCCAACAGAGGGCCTAAAATAGACATCGCAAAAACTCCCCTGAACTTTCGTTCGCGAAGCCCAAGACACAAGTAGCAGGATACTTGTTTGATTTCTGAGAGCACATATCTTCATTACTAATTTTTTTTATAAATAATTTTCTAAAACAAAAAAAGTTAATTCAAAAACTTACCCATGTTTTGATAAGGATAGTAACCTCGTCGAGAGCGCAGGGGTCCTCCGCGAACCCCACCCATACCATGGCTCATACCGTTATTCATACCAGCGTTATTCATGCCAGCGCTGTTCATACCAGCACCAGACATACCAGCGACAGGCATACCACCACCGTTCATACCACCACCGTTCATACCACCACCGTTCATACCACCACCGTTCATACCAGCACCAGTCATACCACCGCCGTTCATAGCACTGCCCATACTATTTGCCGCGCCATGGGGCATCTGTGCAGTGATCGAATCTGTAAAATAAATAAAAGAAAGCATTTATCAATAACGAATGTGCATGGTGTGCGTCAAGGTTTGCTATACGAGCAACAGCTTTTCACTTATAAACTGACAGAAAAATTAAAGGTTAAGAAAATGTCTTTCCCAAATGCGCACTCACTTAAACGTGAAGAGTAAACATTTGTCGTGATTATGAGGTAGAGGTCAGTTAAAATGTAGAAAACAAATTGTCAACAAACGCTAGTATTTCTTTCATCTTATTTCTCTTGCTTTTTATCGCAACTGCCAGATTGTTAAGTAGTATTAGATATAATAGTAATCGAATATCTTAGGTGAAGCCTTATCGATTATTATTCATTTTGACTAATATTTCTTTCATCTTATTTCTCTTGCTTTTTATCGCAACTGTCAGATTGTTAAGTAGTATTAGATGTAATAGTAATCGAATATCTTAGCTGAAGCCTTATCGATTATTATTCATTTTTGACTAGTATTTCTTTCATCTTATTTGTCTTGCTTTTTATCGCAACTCCCCGATTGTTAAGTATCTTAGAAGTCTCTATAACACTATTGGACACTACTGTGAGCAATAATAATGTATAATAAATCTCTAAGCCTAACAGAAGTATCGTGATGAAATCGATCATAAAAGAAAATGACATGTTCATCGTTAATTAATAATAGCTAAGGATCGGAAGCTCATGAAGGATTGAAATAAATATGAAATATATATTTATTATTCCAGGATAATTTTCCAACTTATTCACGATGATCTTCGCCCACTTTAACGTTCTAATATCTATCATGGAGTAACAAAATAGCTCACCGGTTTCATGTACAATTTCATTTTCAATTTTTTTTCACTGCTCTTTGGAATGTCATAGCTGAAACTTTTCTCTCACGTGCCAAACGTCTTATGAATTGAATTGGATCTTTTC